CTTTTCTGTCGAATATCATCACGTTGTAAGATAGGATCTGGTTGGTTAATAGATAGTTGTTGTCGCTGTAAATGCTGTTCACCAATCTCAACAGCTTGCTGCGTAGTCTGTTGATAAAGTTGCTTAGTTTGAATACTAAATCGGTCTTTTTCTTTATTTCTAAGTAGCTGCCAAATTCTTGCTATTTTCTCCTCTTATCGTTCCTGCTGTCTTGAAGAGACATCATAAGGGGGTGGCGTTTCTATCTCCTCCGCGTATTTTGGCTGCCAATTTGTGAAATTGATAGTAGAGCCGTGTATCCATTAGCGCGGATGAATAAGAGAACGAGGAAGAGGTTTGCCGGTACAAAAAGCTTTCGAAAGGTAATGCTTATAAGCAATACCAAATCGGAGAAGAATCTCGTATTGATAGCTATTTGATGATACTTGTAATATAGCTGTCGCTTAATTTAGAGTATGTCATTTCTGTTGTAATAGATTCAAAGCAAAATTTGAGATATTATATCTCAAATCTGTGAAGGCATAGGCCTGCGCTAAGCGTGGGTATTTCCGAAGATAATCTTGTTCATCCACTACTAAATCTCTGAGGATAGATTTAACCTTTGAACAGAGTCTTTTAGCGGAGTCCTCTAGCGGGAGTTGTGCATTAGTGACCTCACGTATAACATGGTGATAGGACTCTCCTCGTTGACTCTGCTTGTGGAGCCTAGATTTGGGTATTGATGAGTATATAAATGAACCACTTGATTCTCCTTCGGCCCTTATGTTTTCTTGATATACTTATATTCAGCAGGATTAAGCTCATTCAATAGAGCTTGTCGATTATCTATGAGCTCCTCCTTCGTTATAGATTTGATATAGGTCCAGGCCCGCTCTTGAGACCGATATATTTAATCTTCTTTTCTTCATCAAAATATCCATCGATATCCTTCTTACTATATCTGCCAGATCGTCGAAATTTGGTCAACATAGCTTCAACAGCATGCCAATCGCAAGTTTGAACTATAGCATTAGGAAATGTCTTTGAGACGGAAGCAAGAATGCCACCAGCTTGATCTCCGAGAACCACGTGAGGAGGCATAGCTGCTTCTTCATCCTCCTTTTGAAAACAGTACGCTTTAAGACTCTCCCAAAAGAAAGAATATGACTCCTCGGATTCAGAAGAACAGAAGGAAAAGACGATAGGAAAGGTCTTTCCCGAACTCAATACACCCACAGCGATAAGGATTGGCATACGCAAATTGTTGGTACTAAAAGTGCCATCAATCACACAGAGCTAATCAGCAACAAAGCGCTTTGTTGCCCCCAAAAGAATAGGATGAGTAAACCAGATTTGGACGAGTTTCCTTCTAGTCTCACAGCCAAAGCTATCCTCTTCAATATTAACGCGAGTTTGATACACAAATTCGGCGTCATAAAGCGCTATAAGTAGTCTATTAATGGTTTCAGGAGCTGCCTTGTCTCCTCTCATATTCCTTACAGTATTATAATACTAATTAGCCGTCAAATTGATACCATATTCTTCGCTGCTTCAATTACTCGACGACTGGTTTGATATGTCATAATAGCTTGTCGATGACAAGTAGCAACGGCTGCTAATGTCTGAAACTTAGAAAGAGACCGCATATTAATAGGAAACATTAAAGGATCATCCACAAGCGGATGACCTTTATGATCAAGAGACTTGATAGCGAGAACAAAGCGCTTGACTCCTGAATTGCGCTTACTAACATTCCGCCAGGAAATACGGACTTCCCAAGGACAGTCTGATTGATTGACAGCGGTGAGGTCCTTGGTTCTTCGAGAGATAATCTTGCCCTCCATGTCTCTCTCAACTCTATTCTCTAAGTTGCGCCAGTTTTTTGTTTTGGAACATGTGATATATCACATGACCTTGGCGTGCCATGCGCATGCCCTGTGTACAGCCTGCGCATGCTCTGTGCATGGTCCTCGAATGGGTCCCGAATGCACTTCTCAACAGAGGCCATATTTATGTAGAATTCGTAAAGCACTTGAACGACTAATGCCACACTCATAAGCAAGAACTTCACTTGATTTCTCTCGACCTGATCGATCTAATTTAACGCTCTCAAGCAGTTGTTGTTCAGTTGGCAAAGTAATCTCCTTAGGCCTACCAGAACGCGGTCCATCTTGTACGTAACAATCAAGAATTCGAGGATCTTGTTCAGGACGAAAACCACGCTCATAAGCTCTTTTTTTGAGATAAGATTGTGCAGATTGTTTGACCCCAGTCTTCTTCTCAATATCACGCCATGAGAATCCCTCCGCTAATAATGTAAGGCATTGAACTCGTTGTACGATTGTATGACGATGAGCACGACCAACAGCATCCTGTGAACGAGGTCGAATAGGAGGATAAGGAGGAGGAGGAGGAGGAGGAGGAAAAGGAGGAGGACGAGGTGTACGAAGAGTAGTATTTCGACGGCCTATGTACGCGTAAGCTCGAATAACTCATTAAGGAGGCCATACTCACGTAGAATAGGGTCTTCAGAGGCCATTCTATCTCTTGAAATAAGGCTTCAAGAGCTGTATTGCCACTGCGTTGGCCACTGCGTTGACCACTGCGTTATTCTGTTATGCTGTTTAAGATCAACCAGCTTGCCATACAAATTATTATGGGCGCTAGGTAGAGTCTAAACCTTACTAGTGATACGCTAATATTAGCCGGATATGAAGTACTTTTGGGGCACGACTCCGTACAACTTAAGTGGTCAGATCGAGCAAAGCCTCAAGTGATGACGTTGGCAGTCATGCTCACCAGCTTTGTGCCTTGGAGTGTGCTTTGGAGGACTGCCTGACTGGTCCTGCGTTGGAAATTGGAACGCGGCCAGGGACCAAAACGAACTTTTACCTGTGCGGAACGCCACCAGCAAAATCTCATCGAAAGGGGAGGAACCAATCACTCTGGTCATAATAGTCTTTGACCTGCCGCCGTCTTGTTTGGCTTGCTGAGACCTACGGACAGTCTTTTCACTCAGCCCTGGAGGAGTGATCACAAAAGTCATGGTAATGGGAGGCAAACACGATGTAAGGGGTATCGAGGAGGTTCTATGAAAGTGATTGGATGGCGGAAGTGTGATTGCAAGGGCTTATCCTGCATAAACCTCCCAACAGACCAAACTGTCCGAGTTAGGGGCTGCTGTTCAAGATGATGACATCGAGGTAGTGAAGTAGATCTCGATACAGCCCTAGCGAAGCATTTCACCTACTGGCTCTATCATGCACCTGTATTGTGTCTTATTGGACACGTTCTGGGCCTTCTTGATCGCTGCTGCGCTGCTATCGAGTGAACTGGCCAGCACTGCGGCATTTTCACCCTGTCGCGGCGTTATGTCAGCCGATACAGGGTCTCCAAGGATCGACATGTCACGATCATCGAAAGGGAGAGGGAGAGGCCACTACACAGGATCCTGCTATAGTGTTGCCGGTGCCTCAGGCAAAGGGAGGTGTTGGTCGAGGAATCCATGGGGAGGTGAGATACCCTCGGTAGGATGCTGATAGGGGCGCCATTGCATGAACCGCCTCGATAACCAGGCCAACGGTTGGATCGACCGGCCCAGGAAGCAACGAATGAAATGAGCTGCGCGGTCTTCCCACGGCCATGCCATGGTTTCAAATAGGCAGTGTATCCTCTCGTAACTTTTGCGTGGCGCGAAGACCAGCTGAACACCACGTTCAAGATGGTTCAGAGGCCCTTCCTGTTAGGCTTCGTCGTGATGTCAGTTGGCCAGAGCCCCTATGCGAGGGATGAAGGAGTGGTGCCACTGCATTGTCAACGGCTGCGGTATTTTTCTGATTGGCGAGGTGGTCTCGGGGACAAATAGTGCGCCGCTCGTGTTAGCGAGAAGTGGGCGGTGGTGAGGGTGGCAATGGTGTCGAACCAGGTACCTCCACGAGGGACCGGAGACGCCTGGCCCGGGGCGCTAGATAAGATTGTCGACGTACGTAGTAGTCGTCAGCATCATCGGTTGATATCGGCGAATCGCGAGGGTAGAACTCTGGCCGACATGGAGCTGGTGTCAGCCCGCGGGGCGGCTAGGAATGCCAGCCCCGGGGGCGCAGCCGCCAGCTGACACGGTTTCGAGATGGACGGACAAAGCGGCGTGATGGTCACTGAAGGTCGCATGCAGACATCAACGCTATCGTGGTCGGGGGGGCGGTGACCAATATATAGACGAGCGACGCGGCAACCGCCGAAAGATAAAAGCGGCAAGCGGTCACGGGCGGCGCCTGACCCGATGCGGTCGGAGCACCCCCGGCACCCTGACGCAGAGTACGGAGTAATGCAAACATTGTGGAAATTTATGTGCTTGGCGGACGATAGTCTCCCGTTGAGATGACAATGAAATCACTTTCTCTCGGTTTAAGGTATTTTGGACCACTGAGAGACTGCGGCCCACCACCCGAAACGCGAGTGTCCCTTGAAAAATTTGATGTATATAAGCTTGAGTGTTAGGGACAATGTGTGAGATGTAGAGGGTTCCCAGAAACGAAACGAAGAAGTACCTTTCTGTCAGACAAAAGCTAGTTTACGATCTTCTGAGGACCGCGGTCATTTTGGTCCAACACTTTGCTATTACGAAAGTGGGAGATCTCCATCCCTGGACTAGTGTCGAGGCCATGTAGAGCAATGAGGACCTGTGCGGTGAAGCACTTACTATAAATGAATGTGTTTGAATAATTTCCAATATATGATCACACAGTAGAGTTTCTCCAAAGCCATCATTAAGCAGAGATCACTGTCCTATCTTGGAACATGATAACTTATCAACAACTCCGGTCACGACGACTAAACCAAGCCATTCGAGTTACACGTGCAGCTTGTGCGGGTTTCAGATCAGAGCCTAGAATATATGGTGGCATCACCAACACCGTATGGTAGACAACTCGGACATCCTTGCAAATTCATATGGACAACACGTACTCGCACTATCTGCCTTCGTACTTCTTTTCTCCCGTGTTCTCCCTCATGTTGCCCTTTCGTGATTTCCGACGATCACCCGACTGATGAGCCAGCCATCAATATAATCGGTGACGTTTCCTCTGAAAAATGGTGATCGAATTTAGATCTGGGACGAATATATCAAATTCTACCCATTCTACACTCCCTTGTCAGGCCCGCCTCTATCACTTGTAATTCCACGAATTTTATCTCTTCAAAGCGAACACGAAATGGTCTGGTAGATCTGGACCAATATTTCATGTTTGATCAGGGTGTCCATCAAATCAAATCGGTGCTTTCGTCAAAGCAAATCGGCCTCCGTGGACCTGACAAATTAGTCAAACTAAAAGTCTTGACAGAAAAGTCTCTTATATTTTCGATGGAATACAATGGTCTTGGCGGACACTCGATCTGGACGAGAATTCAAGAAGTTGTCAGACGCTATTTCTACATGTTATTAGTAGTCAGTACCTTTGCATTTTGCCTGCTTTTGACTGGTCATTTTCGCCGTAATTTCGCAGCTAATTTCCCAGCAATTCGTACTTGTTTCTGCGCACCCTGCGCCTTTTTGAGAGAGAACAGAGCCGTTTCTCCTACCTATTTAATATAAGTAAAACTCTAGAAATATATTGCTTACTGAGATTTGACTCGATTTGACAAATCAGCCCAACAAAGCAAATCACGAGTTTGGATTAAACAAGCAAAGCAAGCCAGGGCCTCGATTTGCTTAGTTTGATTCGATGGATATCCAGCGTTTGATTAGCAAATTGCCATCAGTCGAGCACAAAGACTGCACGCTGACACCTGTTGTTTGTGTCAACGCAGAGAGTCAAAATCCTGAAGCCTTTAGCATCTGGGAGTTCGTTATGCATGATGTCTTGACCATGACAATGACCAAGGTCTTTTCACTGTCCATTCTCAAATCTGATACATGTGAGGTATCGATCATGCTCGATGTTACCGAGTTCATGCCCTGGATAATGAAAATACCTTCGAGGGGTATGAAAGAACATTGTCAATTTCTTGAAAGTGGAGAAAGGTGTCTTGTTGTCGTCGAAGTGGACTGCCGAAACCCATTTCGGTGACAGTGAGATTTTCCTGGACTGCAAGGCTGAGTGAGCCTTTGGTGAAGCTTTGGTCGAATTATCCAAAGCCAACGTGGCTCATCCACTCCGACTTCTCTGCCACAAATACTGACGTACCATAGGACCTCATGGGCCATCATAGCAATGCGGGTGCGCGAAAGTTCGGAGCGCCATATATTGAAAACACGAGGCCCTTCTTGTCCTTCTTCTCGGATCCGATCGCGCTCACATTCTTCGGGAGCCTCATCTGCATTTCTGGGGCGTTTGGTCTTGAATACCCAATACCTGGCAGATAAATGTACCTCGCTCATAGCACGCGATGCTAGACGTGACGCAGCTGTGTCTTCGCTTGGAAGCAAAGTCAATATCTCTGTGCGCAACTCTTCTGGAAGTTTAGCAGAAGGGTCCACGTTGTGGTCATGCAAATTTCGTTTGGGGGACAAATTCAGTGACTTGGTCTGGCTGGAATTTGTGGATCGATTTCAGCGTTATTGTGGTTTCCGGATCTGGACCAATCTGTTTTCCTCATCCACTACCCATTTCCCGCCAATCCGAAATCGAACCATTGGCTCTGGTCTTTGAAGGACGACGTCAAATCGTCTCGACCATACCAGGGTGTATCAACCCTACACCTGCCCCATTAATTTCTCCTACCATATGCCTTTAGGGTGGAACCCAGATCGTTGATAAGTTGGTCAAATTCTTTCCCCTGGTCGCTGATGTTGACACCTCTATACCTGCGACATTGGAGTAGTATCTCAAAACACGTTTCATGTATCGAGAAAGAATTAGCATGCGATTGGATACAGGTGTCGTCTGTCCAGTCATGCATTTTATCTACCATTCAACATTCTTCATTTCTTGGGCATGTTTGTCCATGGATCTTACATCAGTGCGTCCGTTTGAATCAATTAAGGTTGAGTCAAATAACCCAAAACAAATGCGTAAGTAGCAACTAAACTAAATCCGCCAATGCAACTTGAAGTCTTGACTGAAAGAGACGAAGGAATAAAGGTCTTGGCGGACTCCTCTTGTAAGACAAAAATCATCAATGGTTCTTTTATGTTTTACTAATGTTTGACTTCATCTGGCGAACGAGTCAAATCAGACCGAGCCAATCTCTAGGATTAGATAAGCAAGTCAGATGAGGGCTGCTAGTATGTTTGATTTATCTGATTTGATGAATACACTGTCTTGCATCGAACGGGCAGATCTAGCGCTCCGAAAATGGGTGCTGTTAATTGTCCTGACTGCTTCCTCGTTGGCCAGTTTTTCATCACTAACCCTCTTAGGATTTTGATCAGCGATGCTCACGTTTCTGGATGAAGAATACCAGCATGACGGGACAGTCGTTTGCTCAGAAGCACCATCCACGATGAGAAATATAGAAAGTATCTACTGGGATCAAGACTGTAGCATTATTTCCCGAGTAACTTCCTAAAATGGTAATGGCCAACTTGGAGTGGTGAATACGTTCAGCCTTGCCAAGCAATGCTGGCGAAGCTTGGGCCAGCTCCTCTTTCACCTCCCCAAGTCTCTGTCTGCATCATCTCGAATGTGAGGATCACCCCTATCCAGCATGAAGTGCGTACCATCTCAGACGCCCCGTGCTCTCCGAGTCAGCCAGACCCCTATTTTAAGCGCACGAAATGTCCTGACCACAGGGTCCTGTCCGCTACAAACGTCTCGTGCCAGATTCTCCACAACTCATCCACGACGCAATGGACCTTTCATATCTACCTATGGCTCCAACGAATTTCTTTCCCGGAAGCATCGAATCAGAACCGACCCTTCACCATCTTCAGAGCGTGCTCGACTGATACGGAGAAGCAAGATCGCAGGTTTTGGCATCATCGTTTGCGCGGTGTGCATATTTGGCATAATCAAGTCAGGTGCCATTCCAGAGCCATCAAAGAACAAGAAAAGGCAGACACCCAGTGAAACTCAGCTTGATGGGCCTGCCTCGATAGTCCCTGATACTTCCTTGCAGGACAAGGCGGAGCAAGTAGCCACCGGCACATCTACAGTCCCTACATTTCCAAAGACAATACATCTTTCATCGCTCGATGCGCCAGCGAATGCATCCGTTGTAGACAAGGGAAAACAGGAGTACCAGCTCGTTGGATTGGGCATACGTACGGTATCTTTCCTCGGCATTCAAGTGTATGTAGTAGGTCTCTACATAGCAGTTCCAGATATTGCCACACTGCAGGAACGATTGGTGAGGAAGATGGATCCAGTGGCTACAACATTGGTACCTGGCGAGCGGCAGAAGCTGAAGGAGCTTTTAATGGATCCAGTAAAGGGCGAAGAGGTGTGGGATGAGATACTTAAAGATGGAGGCATCAGAACCGCTTTCCGGATCGTACCTACAAGGAACACCGATTTCATGCATCTGCGGGACGGATGGGTGAGAGGAATCACAGGAAGGACACAAGCCCGGACTGCTGCAGGTGACCAATCATTCAATGACGAAACATTTGGTGCCAGTGTCAACGACTTTAAGGCTATTTGGGGCTCTGGAGCAAGAAAGTCTTTGCCTAAAGGGGGAACGTTGATGCTGACAAGGGACGCTCAAGGGAAGATGGCTGCATGGATCGAGGAGAAACAAGGCAGCTTGAGGTTGGGAGTAGTCAACGATGAAAGGATCAGCCGATTGATTTGGCTGGGTTATTTAGCCGGCAAGAACGTGAGCAGTGAAGGAGCACGCAGGAGTGTAGTCGATGGCGTTATGGACTTCGTGGAAAGACCTGTGGGAACGGTCGCACAGCAGGTGGTGTAGGAGAAATAGTTGAAAGGACGATCAGCATCGTCTTGTCTTCCATTCAAACCAAATGATACATGTACAGTACGTATCGGCTATGAATTCCATGAAATGTATCAAACATATGTTCTCCCATCCATCTTTCCTGTTTCTACCAACTAGTTTTCCCATCTCTTGTGTCTTTTTTTCAAGCTTCCGACTCTGACAAAAATCCGGGTAAGGTGGTCCCTGTGGCAGTGTAATGTACAGCGTTCTTCAGCCAATACTCGTCAAAGCCTTTCGGTCCCTTGGTGGCCACCACCTCATCCAGATTATCTCTCCCGCCCAATTCTTTCTCTGCAACGAAGATACGAGGGACCGTTCTCTTGCTTGTCTTCTCCTTGAGGAAGTCTTGGATATCATCGCCATCAGCTATGGCAAGGAATACAATCAGCTTTGCTAGTTGAGTCACAAAACGTGGATGCAACCTACATGCTTGATCCAACTCGTATACATCAAGGCTGAATGGAGTACCCTTGGCCTCGTATTCCTTTTGCTTCGCGGTCAGGATCTTCTTGCTATGTGCACAGTGAGAACACCAGGTCTTCGAGAATATCATCACGGCGTTGTCGTGAATGAGACCATCAGCTTTCGACTTTGCGTCAGCCATGGCAGCAGGTGAACGTGGAGCTGAGATGCCAAAAAGGCGACGGAAGATCGACGAAATTTTGGCGGTTGGGAGCACTTGACGGGCGGGAACAGGAGACTATATACAAGGAAGAGATGGGATATATGTATAATATATGTGCAGGACGAGGAGACGCGGCGGACTGAAAAGTTGAAACTGTTGGATTGTACGAGGCGGATGGTGGCGCCATTTCAGGCAACCTTTCCCAATTAGGCAAACGGCCAACTCTACGGCCTATCGCGTGCGAGTCTTTGAACATTCACACTGGAAGAGTTCTTCACGCATCACCAGCTGTACTCCATACAGAAATGTAACCAATGAATTGTCGATCCTGCGGGCCAGGAACCATGATCCCATGTTCTCCAGACCCTAAATAGGCTATGGGGCTTGGACTTGCTGGATCAGATGAAGTTCGATATTCTGTGCAAGTATGGCTCGCACCACTCCATCACTCATGTCAGTACGGAGTACATTTGTGCAAGATGTTGGACTGACAGGCTTTCAATCGATCCAGCCAATCAGGAGTCAGCCCTTTAAAGGCATCATGCGTGATGAGATTTATGATGCCGGCTTCCAGCAGCTCAGGGCTCCAATCACCAACTAATATCAGGATCCACCTGCATGAGATGTGGCACAGCAAACATTACGGTCACAACCTTTCCAGACCAGCAAGGCTTTCACCTTATAACATCTTCTCCTTAGAGGATGGCATTCGGAGGATTGGGAAAATTAGTCTCTACCTATATACGCTGAACGAATCATTTCCGTGCTCAGATGCTTGAGATCACCCATTTTCATAGCCTCGACGAACGGCTCGAAAATAGGCCCTCGTCAGATACTTTGTGCAAGCAATGCAAGAAGTTAAACATTGTGCAACTTTTTTCAGGCCCTCGATATGAAGATTTCGAGATTTCGTACACAGGTGACAAGCCGCTCGATGTCTTTATCGGAACAATCGCCGAGATTAAGTTGCGTGCGTGTGCATGCAGAATCTGTCACATAGTGGTTGCTTTTCACGATGCTTCGCACAAGAAGAGCTGGCTAGATAAAGAAGATTGTGATGAGGCTATGGAAAAGGCCTGGCTGAAGCCTTACCGAACGGATATCATTCTGTATACTCCAGACCTGTCAAATGTTAGCGACAAAGGTTCAATCGCCACCTCTCTTGCGGTTGTCTTCCAGAAGGTCCCGAAGCAATCATCATTTTCTTCTCTGGGGGAGGATCACCGGGGGCCAAGGACTAGCAACCCTGGGCGAAGACCAATGGTTGAACTCGAGCACGCCATCACTGGTTGTACAGGAAGTCCCAACTCTGCGAAGGGTATCTTCGAAGAGGAGTTTTCAACAGCTGAATTACCTCATGGAGCTTACAATACCCATAACTTCTTGTTCTGTCTCACTGGCAACTCTTTGATCGAGAAGGCCCCTGTATTGAGTGTTCCTGATTCTACTCATGGGTCGAACATTGATTGGACCTCGTTAAGAGCTTGGATTAGAGCCTGCGAAGACGATCACCCCATGTGTCGCCCTAAAGGTCGACTGTTCTCTGACAAAGGAGACATTCCTATCCGTTGCGTCGACGTCAAGACTTCGACCATTGTTCACATCGATGCTGATACCAGATACCTTGCTTTAAGCTACGTTTGGGGAGCGGAACGCCATGAGATTATGGAACATATCAATCACTGCCTTGTTGGGGCGGAATCCACAATAATAATCGACTCTCTGCCACAGACCGTCAGGGACGCAATCCGGATTACAGAACACTTAGGAGAGCGATATCTTTGGGTAGACTGCCTATGCATCAACCAAGGGGACGCCCGCGATCTGAGTGAGCAGATCGGATTAATGGATAGAATCTATGAATACTCATCGCTTACTCTTGTAACTTCGACCACTACCAATGTCTATTCAGAAATTCCCGGTATACGCTCGCTGTCAAGGGTAAAATCCGCATGTGACGCGATGATCGATGGGCGATCGGTGAAAGCCATATGCGCTGCCAGCGTTGTTGGCGAATTCTTTGGACCATGGTCGACAAGGGCCTGGACTTATCAGGAGTGGCTTCTTTCGAGGCGTTGTCTACTCTTTTCGGAAAACCAGATACTGTTCCGGTGTCAGTTCACTACTGGGCTGGAATCCTTTGCTCCTCCAAGAGCTGCCCAGTTTCCTAATATCGATGCGATGCCCAGATTTTGGCCCGATGTGAGGTCGGCTTCGACTACGTTGTCACGTCTATCGCTCGATAGGACGTCATGGAACTTTGAGACATACGCTGAGCTCGTAAGAGGTTATACAGAAAGGTCACTTTCTAAGGATACGGATGTCCTGCTCGCATTTTCTGGTCTAATGAGCAAGCTGGAATATTCCAGTGGGATGCCTTTCATCGAGGGAATGCCGACGAGGGACTTACTGAACGCCCTCCTTTGGACAGTGGACGACAACGCTGTGTCGCGTCTAAAGGAATGGGTTCGCAGGCAGCGACTACCTTCGTGGTCCTGGGACGGCTGGACTTGTTCAGTAAAATATCCTTGTTGGCAAATACTTCCCTCATCTGATATCGCCCAGGACTTTGCTCGTCGTTATGAGGAGATTCATAGGACTAGACCCATCGAGTCCAAACGAGCAAGAAAATGGGCACATCGGAGACGACACACTCCGATTCCTGTCATTGTTTCTTTGCTCACAGGTTATGTGGACACTCACCGCCACTTGCCTTACAGAGCTTACAGTTTAAAAAGTGCCCACTTGTCTTTGCCCACGTCAATCAAGAATCGTGGGGCTTCATGTCTTTGTGTGAGCTCGGAGACAAGGTCACTCCTGATTGAGGTTAGCTCAAGCAGGGACAAATACAAACAACTCATACGGACAGTCAAGATCCTCCACCCACTCAGCAAGGATATCATCGACGGTGAGCATGTTTTAAAGTCACTGATCAAATTGGGAAAGCGTGATGGGAGCCTCCGCGACTTCCCTACCTCCTCTGGCATCTTTAAAGAAGATGGTTCCATACATCGTGATGCTGTACTACTACAAGCGTGGAAAATCGAAGGCGATGATGGGGAGTGGTACGACAGGGTCATCGCTATGATTATAGACCGCTTGGAAGACGGCGCTGTGGAGCGAATCGCAACTACCGCCTTCTGCAGCGAGGACTGGTACTCCCTTCCACTGGTCAACGAAGTCGAAGAACTCGAGCTGGTATGACTGAGAACAAGTCGGCGATTTCTCTTACCTCGCCTGCACCATCCCTAGACTCCTCACGTCTATTATGATGCTGTTCGTCCAACCCTTGCCGGCAGCGTCTTAGTTCTGCATTTCTGCGACTTGATGCTTAGAGCAACGATTTCAGGTCTTCACCAGCACATAGATGCGACTAACGAATACCTGTCTGTCTTTTCCTCTCTTCTACGATAGAGCTAGGCAACATCAATGTACGAATGAGCGCCCGCGAAAATGTAACGCATTGCCTGGACTCGTGCGATTTCAGCACACAGATTGGGATGGGCCCATAGAACAGATGTCAGTCAACCTTCTACAACCTTCCGTGTCATGCTCTGCCACCTTCTGTTTGCGTCGTCCGGTGAATAGTGCAACGAAAATAGCCCTCCCCCAATACAGTCAACGAACCACGTAGATCTATCCTAAAAGAAGAAAACTGTCAGCCATAGACTACTATTACTAGTAGTTTACGGTATACCGAAGGACGCTGTCCTTTGGTATAACCAAAGTCCTACGACAATGAGCAACAAACAATTTGTCCAACTGGTAAATCACTTCGCTGACATCTATTTATCAACTTATGGGCTGAGCCGCCATCTTCTATGGTCCTCATCACTACCAGCAAACACAGTAACGCTTGGCCGCTTCATGCACTGTCCGCCAAGACGAATGTTTCCCTAATACTCTACTCATGCATTACTACGTATGTCCTCTAGCTAATTCCTAACAACTAAGCAATCAATTCCAACCAACAACTCCTCCCCTCTCAGCCTGGCCCTAGCAACAGATCAGACATGTTACTGACCACACAGTGTGCGCGTAGGGGCAAAAGATGAAACTCTAACTTCACGATCCTATCCCCAATAAAGAAACAGTGGAAACCCAAGGGACCTAGGAGAGGAGAAGCCCAGAACCATGCATGCATGGAAGGGATGAATTAGTACCACCGCATGGAGGGATGGGATCTGGGTAGGATGTGAATGGACTGTAATCCTTAATGGAGATGAATTTAACGAATTTGTTCAATGGATGTGCAGATCCGACGTGAATGCTACTGATTCAATAGTAGTTAATGTCGTGCAGGGCGTCGGCGGATTGTACGATAGGACAGTGGCACTTGTGGCCATTAAGTATTGGGAGCGAGAGCGAGAGAGGCAGAGCCAAAAAGCAACTAGTATGGTACATCAAGAGACCTTGGAAGAGGTCACTAATGTGATAATGGTAGTAATCAAGGTCTTTCAGTCCACCAGGGATGGAGCTAACGCCGATATTGCGCGAACTGTCCGGCCTGTATTTCAAGAGGGGTTGAATGTGCCACCTTTTACACATACTCCAACCCTCGCTTGCTCTTGACCCAAACTCCTGAAAGCAGCCAGCTCCCTAGCTAGCTACGCCGACCAGCGAGCGGAAGGAAGAAAGGGTCGCTAGAATGTAATTCGTACAGAGGGAAAATGCGAGAAAACGAGCGCGAAAAGGAAGAAAACGCCGTCCCTTTGGGGGTAATGTCCAGTGCCAACGTTACATAACAACACAACAGCCACAACTCCGTTCCTTCTTTTTGTCCAGCTCACCAGGCGGAGGAGTTCGCCGCAGGCTCTGCGGCACGCTTGACGGGCCCGGACTCCCCAGCGCCCCGACCGGCGGTGAATTGAGTGGAGAACTGATGACCTTAGGCATGGTGCTGTAGCCACCGTTACCGCTCCCACCTGTACCTGGCCGACTCGTACTCGAACTTCTGATCCTTCCTATTGGCTTCAATGGCCAGACGTTAGGATCGCCGCCCTTTTCGACTCCAGGAGTGGGTGGCGACGGCGAAGGCTGACTGAGCGATGGTCGTTTCTCACCTTCTTGGTCGTGATCAGCATGTGTAAATCCATTCTTGTCGATCTGCTGCTGCTGCTGCTGCTTCTTCGCATGTGTCGGGATGATTTGCTGATCTTGTGGGAGTCGAGGGTCGGGCTTATACATTGTGGCTAACCAGGGAGCTTCACCTTCTGGCCGGTTGATAGCGGTTCTGGGTCGATCTGGATCTGTGGAGCGAGTGGGAGGATGCTGAAGAGTTGCTGCGTTTTGTGAATTAGATGGCACGCGAGGCTTGTGCGTGTTCGATGTCTTTCGAGTCCCAGCAGGCGTGCCCTTCCGCGTCGCACTTGGAGGACTAGGAGTGGTTGTTATCACACCTTTTCCGCCGGGGTTTGGCACCGCTGATGGAGTTGCCTCTGCTGGGCTCAAGATTGACCGAGTGACATCTGTTGAGGTAGGTGTGCTATTGTTGACATCTGTCTCGTCAGCCAGGTTTTGGCTGCCCACACTAATCCCTCTTGTCCTTATCCTAGGACTCCCAAGGTTCTCGTCGTCTTCAATGCTTCCACTAAAATTGCGTTTCCGTGGTATCGGAGTGTCTCGGTCTATCCTCTCGGATGGGATTGGTAGCGGGCTTGATGTCAAGATTGGAATCTTCGATCCGCTTTTCCGGACAGTTAGCAAGCCATAAGTTTTGGTAGATCGGGCAGAATCAGTCGCGGCTATTTCTTCTGGTGTTCGTAGATCCCAGTCCCGACTCTCAGGAGACTCTGCTCTTTCATTTGTTATAGACGAGACCCTGGGACGCTTTTCGACTCGTTTCGAAGCCCAGTGATCAGCCTGTTCTATCCTGGCTGTCTCTTCGCCCAGTCTATCCCTACTCTGTGCTCGTCTTCTCGTGCTCGTGGCTCTTGGTGTGGCTAGATGGAACCCAGCAGCCTGCAATTCCTCGTCCTCTATCCTTGCGAGCTTGTCCCGGTGTATCCATTTTTCAATGTCTGGGTCGTGATCTTCTAGTCGATACATATTCTCTGGTATTTGGTCTTCGTCCTTTGGTAGTGCAAGGATCGGATTACTGGCGCCAGAGTCGGTGTACAAGTTGAGAAGGCTGTCAGATTCGCTCATCGGTAGTTGCTGGCTTGGATCTGAATTCTGCGCGGATTTCCGGTTGACATACACCCCATTATTGCCATTCGATAGTGGCGCTCTTGTAATGGTTTTTGATGGCCTGCGCAGGGAGAAACTGGTGGGATTCTATGCATAGAGTCAGTACGCTTGTCGAGCAGGGCACGATGAAGGGGAGGCAATCAGCGGATGTTTCCAAGGGGAATGGCCATATCTTTCTCTGCTGCTGGAGCCCAATACAGACAACGCTCTGTGTCGCTTGACCCGGTAGATGTGCGAATTCTCACTGACCTCTTGGTACGACTCATCCGGGCCCCCCAAACTGCCTTTCTCCTCCTTCACACCATTTACCTCGCTCAGATTGACTGAATGGACAGTTGCCATCTGTTCGAGCATCTCCCACAAGCATGAAACGGTCACTGCTCCTTATCCAGTGTACGGCCAAATTTGTATGAACTGGTCCAGCTACTTCTCCATTGATTGAACGAGCGCCGAAGGGTCGCACCGATTATAACAGGTGGGTACGAACATTGACAACCAGCGATATCCCGGGTTTCCTAAAAATGGCGTAGGTCTCTGTTGCTATAAGTCGAATCGGTAAATTGTAGTGGGAGACCCAAGTATTTCTTCCAGATGATGTCGCTCCTTTGTTGTCCCGCGGCGTGTGGATGTTTACAGCAGGGATCACGCTTAGGTGGGAGCGGAGGGGTCCTAAGGATGGAGATAGTTCAGCAGTAAGTACCCGGGTACTTCGACTTCTGATCCAGAATCTGGCACCAGGTTCTTCTGGATTGTGCAGCAAGTCTACCAAGGAACTATGATTGTGTGTGTACCGTGTAAATTGGGTTTGAAATCTACCGAGAAGCATGATTGGACAGCCAGAACCTGACCCCATATTATTCCCTATTCAAATCTGGCGTCTCTTCTCTCCGCGGTCGCGAAAACAGGTCCACAAATAAGTGACAGGGTAAAGCTGTATAATGATGTACGAGACAGTATCCATACATGCATGCCATCTAACTTATACCGCTCGGCGCTTCCAAGGGAAGAACTACAACCAATCTTTGCCAACTCCCTGCAATGCATATGCCACCGTCTAACATCGTTGAAAGCGCCGTGTGCCAAGTTGATGTTTCATGCTTTCCTCGACATAACGCGTACAATCATTCCTCGTGAGTCTTCGCGGCAGCATCCAATTTCTTGAACATGTCATTGATTTCGTCCACCAGTTTCTTTCTGTCCATGCGAGCCTGCACGTCGCCCTCTGTGTCAATGTCGTCTGCCTTCAAGACGATCTGGGCAAGAATGGACTCGGTGAGCTTTTTGTGCTCTTGATCTCGCAATTTTGGGTCGGAAGGTGGGCGGAAGAGAAATTGAACACATTTAGGTACCCATTGCGTGTGAAAGGTGGAAGCAAGCTGGTCGACTTTTCCCCTGGCAACGTCGCACTTAGGAGACTGCAGAGGCGGTGATTGCGGAGGGGTAGAATGTGACGGTGGAGAACGGAGAGGTGGTGATGGCGGCCGCGATCCTCTCCTCGACCCTGTTCTCGATGGTGGGCGGTTGTCCGTGACGGGCGGTGCCAGATTGTCTTTTGACGGTTGGGGTTTGAGTTTATGGCTTCGATTTTTGCCTCTCCGAGAGGAGTGCGACACTGCAGATCCGCTCTCTTCTGTCTCCGAGCCGCTATTGGGCCTGCTGGGAGGTGTCTCGGATACCACCACCATGAGCTCGGATTGTTGCTTAAGGCCGTATTCCTTGGCCGGGCGTTTGTCGTCTTTCAGCTGTTTACCCTTGTAGAGCAGTCGAAGTCGGGATGGATCTGGTGCTCCTAGCGCTTCGGCCGCAAATTTTCTGATGTCTCCGACTAGGAGTATGCCATCGCTAATGGCAAAGGGTTTGAAATTCAACTCGTATTGGGTGTTCCTATGCCGTAACAAGATAATATCTGGACCTTCTCCATCGTCGTAGCCATGACTACGGGCAACAGAGGGGCGATGATCATAAAGGTAAGAACGAGATCGATCAAAGTGTTCTGGACCTAGATACTCGAAATCATAATCTGTTATCGAGCGATCTCCGGCGGCAGATGTATATGGTGATCGGCGTCCTCCCCAAGTGTCGAGAGCACTCCGACCGTAGCTGCTCATGGAATAGAGGAAGTAGATGAGGGCGAGTAAAGCCGCGACAAGCGTGGTGTAGGAGACGGTAGAATGGTCGGTCAGCAACAAAGCGATCCGATCAGCAAGGGAAGGTGGAGGCTGCGCGGCAGAAACTTTTAGCAGTGGTGTGACGTGAGTGTTGATGAGGCTCTGGACCCGAGTGGGTAAGACGTTGGAGGCAAAGATGTCAAAGTAGGAGGATAAGGACGAGACCCAAGCGCTGAGGCTGGATGAAGCCACGGTGGAAAATCTCTCGAAGAGTGTTTGGGGTTTGGATGGAGATATAATTGACCAAAAGTGTGGTGGGTGGAAATGGAAGATCATCATGGGTCAGAGGGGGGTTTTGGGTTGTTCTGCCTGCGATTTGGGGGGGAAATGCCGCGATGTGACTTAGCTAAGCGGAGGGCGTGTCAAGGTAACGATGGAACAATAACATTGTTGATCACCAAGGCAAACATCCGTCAACCTGTAACCATAGGTCCGCAAGGATCGAGAACAACAGAGTCTCCCATCTTTAGTTTCTGTCAAAGCAAAGGACTGTCCACTACAGCTTCTGATTCGATTTTGTCGCAAGCAGCCTGTATCGATTGTCATACTGTTGCCGCCTCGAGACTTGGTATCTGGTCGGAGGAGTACCAGAGCTATTATTAGGCCAACTGTGACATCAACAAGGAGATCGCGGCCTAACCCCAGGTAATGCCCTAGCTGTTGCGAGCAATTGCTATCAGCGTATTCTCCTCTCCTCCCAGCACCCTGCGATGAGGGAAGGCATATGGTATCGTGATGTAATCACTTTCTTTCATTGCCGTATTTGTTAGATCGAGTATGCCCTCCTTCGCACGCCACGTATTTCCTGCAGTGTCTGTAACGATAACTCCATCTGATTTGAATTGTCACGGTAATTGCATGAAGGGTAGCAGAAGGGATATTTGATCGCTGAGAGGTAAACTTTGAAGCTACTGAGTTTGGAGGGAGCTCGTATATTGAAGAAGCCATTGAAGGATTTGTCTATTTGTTTCACTCTCCAGCTTCATGGCATCAAGTATCAGTAATCATGATCTGTTGACACTCAGAGCTCGTTATCATCCTCATCATCCTCGATAGGTGATACGTTCTCTTTCTCATTATCAGTCTCCTCCTCACTGGGCAATACATCCTCCTTTTCGCTGTCAGTCTCGTCCTCGCTAGGCGGTACGTTCTCCTTGTCGTTATCAATCTCATCGTCGCTTGGTGGTTCGTTTTCCTTGTCGTCATCAGTCACATCCTCATCCGAACCTTCTTCCTCGTCCTCATTTTCGGTGTCATGTTCGTTATCCTCTTCGTCATCGTCCTCATTGTCCTCCTTGCCTGTACCAATTGCCCTGTTGTCAGACGACTCCATATTTGTGTAAATGGGTTCAGGGTCATCTCCGGCCTCTTCTTCATCACTGTCATCGACATCCTCATAAGAAGGAAAGCCCTGTCCGCCATAGTCTCTGTCCATGACTTCGTGCCGTGCCCAATCGATATCGCTAATATCCATATCTAGAAGAGCATTGGTAGTTCCTACCACAGTAGTTTGCATAGACATGATGATTTTGATAGCGAAGTCTGGTGCGGTAGCCATGAACCTGGCGATGGTTTCTGCACGTAATGTTCCAGTGCTCAATGAGCCTCCCACATGATCGGCAAGCCATTCGCGGAGATGAGATTTGCTTGCAGTGTTGCGCAACACATACTCAACGGAGTCTTGGTGAAGGTATGTATTGTTGTTGATATCGAAGTAGTCCTCCAGCTTTCCGACTGCACACCATTCAAGGTCTTCCATCTTCAACCTACAAGCCACCATGGCCATCTCGAAGGCTGCGTCAGGTTGATCTTTATGGCAGTCTGATACCTGCAGTATTCCGGTACACATGAACCTCAGCACAGATTCGAAAACATGGCTGTCGGCGAAGGGAAAGACGATCGGGCTACAACCTTCCAGTTCAGTAATCTTGGTTGAGAACCAGGCGGATCGTTCACAGAGCAATTTGGTTGGGAGAAGAAAGTCGGTATCTGATAAGATAGCCCTGACAAGGATTTTTGGGCTCTCATTCATCTCACTGTCCGTTGTCAGCCAAGTTCAGCCGAGTTCAGCCGCCACCAATATTGACTATAGGATCTTCTTATCGCTTACCTCCATAGTGTCCCCAAGCTTGGTGTCTTACATCTGCGGCCATGTCCTGAAGCTCGACAGGTTGCTGCATAGCCCTCGTGCGGGAAAAGGTATCTCAGAGTCAGAATATTGAGTTGTGCGAAATTCGTATTTGTGCGGTTGATACTACCACCGTCAGAAAAATCGATCTTTCATCAAGCATGCTGGGTGCTCACCTTTCCATGGGACAATCTGCATATGGCTCTACCAACAAGGAAGGACTGGTCTCCCTTTCTTCTTCCATAGCAGCTGTTGGAAATTTGTTCTGATCCATCGTCGCGTTGTGGTTTTGGTTGATTATGAAATTATGCAGACGTGAGGGTAATTAAATAATAAGACCTGGTGGACTGTGGCCTTATGCTTTCTTTCGAAAAGTGTTCTGGGGTGGCCTGTATTGATTTCTGGAGATCTTTTTCGTCTTTAAGCGCCGCTTCTTTCCGTGGTTGAAGAAGAACATGTGAGGCTGGAGATCCATGATGATGACCCAGCTGATCATCAATGAATATCTTTTGAACGTGACGATGTGAAGATGGGCCGTTTGGCAACAGAAGTGAAATGGCTGAATTTCACAAACAACTCCAAGCAACTGACATCAACTGTGGAGGTCATATATAGGATTTCGTGGCCGTCCAGACCGAGCACAGTCTTTGAGACTGCTTGTTCTGTGACAGCCCTGGACCTGCAAGGCGGAGTTAAGCGTGGATGCTGCAACTGCATGTTGGATGGGACACATCATCAACAGTAATGGAACATGCACATCATTGCTTGCTCGGATAAAGCTCATGGCCGTTAGCCCAGCAACTTCAATCCATCATCCTTGGAAATTCAAAGGATGAAAGCAAATCCAAATATGTGAGAACGATTGTGCTGGAGCCATTAGGGCAACTGGGCCGTCTCAATGTGAGTGCTTGTTATTTATCCCTATGCTGCACTTGTCACAGCTTGCAGCAATACACCCTACTTATACAGAGAGGTAGATTTGGGTGTCATATTGGGACTGGCTTTGGTCATCTTACTTGAGGCAGACGTTGTTTGTCGTAGGGATGTGAAAAATGGCACTGCACACATTTGTGGTAGACATGGCCAACTGACCTGTGCACCACACCCCCATTTGTTACTTGGTGTTTTAGGTCTCAGAGCATATTTCTATTGTTCTGACATAATTTTAGAGACGGGGTGGACTGATAGAGGTTGAATATGCATATTTAGACACAGATTGTTTTGTCCATGTCGTTTGACCTATCTATGTACTCATGTTGATGAATATTTGTGGAATGACTGCAAGCTGAGTTTAGTGGCTGGAAGGTTTAGTAGGAACAGAGAAAGCGACCATAAAACTGTTGCAAATGGGGATGTGGTGCAAATCGAGGTCGGCCACTAATTCAATTAAGCCAAAAGGAGAATTTCAACCTAGTAGCTGGACCTGGATCTAGAGTCACACACCCAATTCGGACTCCACAGGCTACTATCGAGAAGCTTCAACTATCAAGCACATTTCCAGACAAGGACAAGCTAGTTTCTGACGGGATAGTGAATCGCCATTACGTACAGAGGCGTCCTCACCCGTCGTTTGGTGGGGCTGCCCTTGAATGCTAGAGAGTTCAGTGTATCCATCAAATCAAAAGAAACCAAATCATGACCTCCCTTTGATTTGCTCGTCTAATCCCTGGGGTCAATTTGTTTTGATTTGACTCATTTGTCAAGGAGGACTGACAAGGACTTTCATCTCACAAAGAGAGTCCGCCAAGACTTTTATCTTTTCATCAAAATGACCCTGTATATTTCAATCAAGACTTCCATTGGCGGATCTGGTTTATTTGCCGAGCGTTGGATTTGGTTTATCTGACTCAGCTTGATTCAAATGGACACACTGATTCTGGAGGTTTGACAACAAGCTAATCCCCAAGCACCGAGCTATGACTACGCTTCACCCGAAGCCTTCGCAAAACTGACAGCCAATTCCCAGGGACTGATAGGAGCCACGACTCATCCTTGGTACAAAAAATGTCCAACAGCCGCCAGGATCCAGTTGTATGGCTTCAACCCCCTTTCCTCTAGTCCTCGACACCCTTCCACTTAAAACAATACACTGGACCCCAGTCATCATCGCCGTCAGGGCTTTTTCCAATATTTCCTCCCATCCTTGCGCCTGCCAGTTGACCGCTCAATCCGCTTATTCTCCTGCCGTCCTCACTCTCCGTGGTACTACCCGTCAAGCTTCTCACCATCATCTCCCAACACATTCGCTTTTATCAACGCCGTTCCCCCCCTTACTAAGGGGCTCAGGCAGATGATCCGGCATAGAACCCTCAGCCTCCACCACCAGTACCTTTAGCTTCCTCGTCTCGGAACCCGGTCGCTCTCGCTCTCCATGCACCGATCTTCCATCCTCATCACGCTCGGTGAAATAATATGATGGTATCCCCGAGCTCCGCCAATCCGCGCTAGTGGTGCCCAGCGGTGCTTCTGACTGCCTTTTAGGTTCTGCGAGGTAGTATGAGGGAATCTCATATCTAGAGATGCTACCCGACAACGTCCCGGCCGAGGCCACTCTCCTCAGTTCCGAGGATGGTTGGGCGGTATTTGCGTGTTCCATCAAGGCCTCTCGGCCACGCAGCGGTAAATGTTTTCCACTGGTCCTCCTCCAACGAAACGACACCGCTCTTCGAGTCTGGCCTTGCATTCCACTATCCCGCACCGTCCTGGTGGGCTTTCGCACGCGGCTCTGGCAATTGTACCTGGCCGGCGGAGGAGAAGAGTAATCTGTACGCCACTCCTCCCACCCCCTCCTTTTTGTACCTCCGCCTCCCCGCCATCGCTCACTGCCATCCCATCTTACAACTCCGACTTTCAATGCCACAATAGCATACAGCACTCCCATAGCGCTAAGGAAAGACACTCCCACCACGACAGCTATAAACAGCGACCTAATGCCGTAGATATGCAGATTGCCGATCTTGAAGAGGTATTCTGGGTTTGAATTTCCTGCTGTTGGAAGGTAAGGGTTGTGGCTTACATACGTCGTGTTGGCAGTGAAGGATGAAGGGGGAAAGGGAACGTAAATTTGCAGAGTGGAAAGAAGGAGGTAGATGATTGTGGTGAAGAGAAGGGTTGTGAGGAGCGTGAGGAGCGTGTGCGCCATCGATGATGGCCAGATGAAAGGCTAATAGGGGGATTAATACGGCGTAGCGGGCTTGTCAATCGAAGTACAACATACATACTAGTAACACCTAGAAGAAGAAAATGGCAACGAACAAGATAACAGGCAGGCCAATGAGACACATGGAGTCACAGTATTCGAGTGACTAACAGACCGACCGAATGACTTACTCGTCACAGAACTTTCGAACAACGCCACGCTTTGTAGTCGCCTAGTAAGTATTCGGTCTCCATACCAGCGCCGACGGGCCCAACTATCACCGATCAGACGCTTCTTCACTCGCTCTTAGCCAACAAGCTCATCCTCCACAATTGCTCACCATACATATACAGCAAGAACGAGGCAGGGATTCCAACAATTACACCCACGAATCCCAACACATCATTACGCCATCCATAACCCAGAACCCTACTATCATGCTCTCTATCATTGTTCAATATCAATGCTACTCAAATGCCACTTGAGTATGTTCAATTGATTCAATAACCATAGAATTAATTAGAATCCAATATCTTCATATATTTATATAATCAAGATATCTCAGAGGCTCAAGGGCTTAAGAAATCTGGATATTCAAGAGCTTCCCGAAATTTAAGAGCTTAATGTTACAGCACGTGAACACGCCAAGCACCGACAGGCACTACGAAGCTGCCTGGCACTCTGCGAAGGAACTATGACAGACTTGGACAGGACTGGACCCTGAACTACACACATGGTCAGACCTGGACAACGTAATGATCAGAGGTGATCAGGATGAGCACTCATGAGCAATGATCAGAGGTGATCAGGATGATCAACTCTGAGCACGAATCTTCTACTCTATATAAGCACGCTCATTTCCCAGGTAGTTTCATAGTCTTCGTAGTCAACTCATGTTATCAGCTCATACCTAAGTTGAAGACATCCTAGTATTGTTCACTGCACTTCCTGTTCTACCCAACCAACCCACCTGGACCCAGCTTCTAGTTGAGACTTGTCTTAACCAGTTGAGCCCTAACACTTAAGTGTGTTGGTGATGCCAAAGGGTGCAGATACATGAGGTGGTTATCGACCTTATGAGGGAACTCCGTAGTAAAATTCTCTTGGTAATCCAGTCTTTTGACTCATGCTTCGCGCATACGAGGGGCGCACAGTCCATACTCCTGACAAAGAGATTTTACCAAATGGGGACAGTATCCTAAGAACACCCGCTTACAGTCACACTCTTGAAACCCCACTCTTATAGATATTCCCTCACGAGTATCCTCTGATAAAAAAAAAGGTTATATAACCCTTTTTTTAGGGGCATCTTCTTATAAACATTCTCATATAAATATATTTCTCATAAACACCATCCCAAGAGACCAGACGATCTTCTTTAGACCCCTATTAAGTCACCCTCTTAGATATAATTTCTTAGAATCATCCTCTCAGGGACATCCTCTTAGAACGCTATCTTACAGACACCCTCTCACGAACACCAAATTCAACCAAATACTAAGTCTTCTGTCAGACAAAGGCCAGTTTACGGTCCCTTTTGGTCCAACATCTTCGTACACAATTACATGTAAAGTTGGGTTGGGATAGAAAGATCACCGGAAATTTGAATTGACCTTAAGCCCGTAAGATTCCGCCATATACAAGGCGGGCGTGAACAGTAGGAGACCAAAACCTGCTTTCGGAAGTTGATAAGACGACGTGTCGAATCCACATCCAATGTTGAATGCAAGGAACAGACGATTTGATATTTGTAGAACAGTGACAGGACCACAGAGTTCAGACAGGGGGCCAAGCACAAAGATAGAGAGCACTATGTGTATTTCGACCGTGTATGTCATGTTGGAAGGGAGACCGGGCGCCACCATCGTTGAGGTGAGAAATCAGTGCTGCATTATAGGCGCTAGGTTTTGGGTAAATTGAGGGTCAGTAAAAGGAGTCCGAGCCTTGAGATCTAAGGCGTCCTTGTCCCAGAATCGGCTTTGGCTTATTATCTTATTCTTTTCTACTACTAGTACTTAGAGCATTATTGCAGTGCCGTTAGGTAATACACCCTCAGATTCTGAGAAGCTTCTTGATTGTAGATTCTGATTGGGCGAAGTCCCTTTCTTGTTTCTCGGAATTTTTCTTGGCGGACTGCGGAATACACGCCAAGCTCTACAATGGCCTGACAATTCTTGTCAAAATACTGAGGAGGCTTCCGTAGGGGATGGGTACGATGATGGAGAAAGATGCAACCCAAGTACGTGACCGAAAAAGAACACTGAAAATGAAGCATAACATACTAGTAACTTCTCCAGCTTGACGGCAGTATCATGGTCCCTGGTCAACGAGGGTCGTGTGTGTGCGTCCGCACGTGACATTGGTTTTTAGGGGTTGGACTGTGCAATACTGCATTCATTCGACCAATGTCTGGCGCTGCGCCTGTTGCATACTACTAGTAGTAGTCCACCTCATAGCCCACTGCAAAAGTGTTGCAGTTCCTTGGCACATGTTTCAGAGCAGCTGCTCGTCTGTTCATCCAAACAGCCACAGAGAGCCATGCAAGGATGTAGACTCTGTGATCCTTATATCAATGCGTAGCTGAGTTTCTTCTGATTCTTTTGATACTAATTTATTTTGAGTAGTACTATCTATTTTGATTGGGTATACTTTTTATAAACAAAACTTCAACTACTTACTCTTTCAAATCTAGACTTCAAAACCCGAAAAATAAGCTCAACTGTAAGTCATTGGGTCCATAGTACAGTACTAAATGATATTGATTTCCTGTCATTCTACCTAATACCTATAAATTTAGTATGAACAGCTCCAGCATCAGCCGCTCTCAAGCAGATGCAAAGGAACGGCAACACTTTTGCAACGGGCAATACTTATTAGGGGATGATGCGCTCTCGGTGAGCAAACGTCTCCTTGAAGGTTGTGAACTGTGTTGTCTGCGAACACTTATGGCTAGTGTTTGGGAAATGGTAAATGTGATGAGGTTGGGCATGAGCCAGAAGCCAGTGATAGAATCTTGAACCTAGCGAGGGACGCAGAGTTTTCTACTCGAGCTTCTGACTTACTACCTGGAGAAGAGCTCTGAGAGTGACACGTTATTGGTCCTTAGCAAATTAAACGATGGTCTGTCATCACAAAGACCGGCAAAAGGCGATCGGATGACCATATCATATGTAATAACTACTAGTAATATTGGAAAAAGTCGTCCAAAATGACACATCTTCACTATAATTTTTATGCATACTGCTACTAAATGGTAGATCATATCACGACTAGGCCTAAACTGAGCACTGATTCGTAATTTAGGCAACCTGAAGTAACTACCCCGGTGTCTTTTCCTGCTAGGTTCCACGGACCGTCCGCCTTCTTCCTGCCTTGCACAAGCCGACTTTTCTCAAGCTTTAAGTCGGAATTATCAGGTCCGTTCAAAGGGGCATCTATACCTCGAAGATACTTGTCATTGTGGCTGCTAGACTCTAAGAGCTGTGATGGACTCGCGTATAGGGAGCAAAGACAATCACAATGTCTCCATGGGAGGAAGCTAGAGCCATCATGACCTTTTTTCGATTTCATCAAATGGTCAATTCCGCATGAAACCAAGGTATCCATCGAATCAAATGAGCCAATTCATGAGTCAATTCTTAGTAAGCAATAGTTTCGTTAGGATAACTGTCAAGAATTTCCATCTCGCAAAAAAGTCCGCCAAGACTTAATTTTTTTAACAAAAATATGCCAAAATATACAACCTTTCTGCCAAGACCCAATTTGAATAATTTGACAAACGTGATTTGATTTGATTCGATTTGACTAATTTGATTTGACTGGATACACTGCCATGATGAAACGGCTTATCTCAAGGCACACATGATACTTAGCAACACATGAGGACGTGGAAGTATCAATGACTAGAACTAAAGTATGCAATTGAGCCGGTTATGATAGACGATCCTTCAACCCTTCCTGGGAGATATAAACCATCAAACCTCACTCCTGGACAGCCTCAGTAGTTCGACGTACACATCTGTATTGTGTAGCCCCAACATCCTCCTTGCTTTTTCGCCGCATTCAACCCACATTGACCACTGCTTCATCTTAGAAGGCCGAAACGAGAAAGTCTAGGCTGGGATGGGCCGGTCAAATTGTAGTACATGCGTCCCCGACAAGATCAGTTTTCTTGACGATATGGCCTCAGTGTGCGTGTTTTCAAACACAACACAGGAGCAAGAGTGAATGGCCGTGCTCCTCGAGGCAGTTGTGGTCACATGCCATTGAATGGTTTGCGCTGCTGCATCCGGTAATGAGTACTGCGGCTTGGGTCCATAAATGTCTATCATAGGACCTTGGTATTACTGGATGGCCAATGTTGCGCCCTTCGGCCAGCGTAAGTCAGTGACACAGACACAATCTCCACTTGCGTGGCATTAACAGTAGGGGCACGACTTTTTGTGGTGGTATGAGTTCAGGATCTAAGGATCCTCAACCGTGAAATATATGTACCTCAGATATTACACATCGATCCCACAATGTAGGTGTTATACTCGTGCGACCAAGATAGACATCTGAGCGTGATAGGTGATGGCTCCGCAAGAAGTGCTGGACGGCGTCTTTAATATTGCTTCTCAATCTGCCTTTTATTCTTCCAATCACCGTCGACTCAACCTATCTTGAATTATAAGGACTTCCAACCACCTGGTAAATGAAGCAATAACGTCCTTGCGCCCCGGCACGCTTTGCGGAGCCTGCCACCGACAGTTTTTGAGCGTGTTGGGTTTTGGACACCAAGATAGAATCTGTTCATGTTCGATATGAAAAAGACCCAGTACATCCTGTCAAACTTGCCTTTTCAGCGCTGTGGCAAGAGAGCTTGGTTCTCCTGCCAGAAGTCTTCGCAATCGCGGTGTCCCCAATATTCAACCCAGAATTCTCCAAATAGGTCATCGACATTGATGTCTGTTTCAACTACCCGTTCCTCCCTCTTCAGCCCGCATAGAGCACAAGCATATTGTGAAGTTAGCACCCCGGGTCCTTTCACTGGACGAGGTCTGGTTCGTTCAGACAGCGTCATTAATGGTCGCCGAAATCCAGCTTTGTGCAACGTCGAGTTGAACACATGAGCGTATCTTTCCCAAGCTTCAACTACATCTGCGACTTCTCGTTCCTCCTTCAGGCTTTCGGTTTTGTCAACAGCAGTAAGCTTCATCCCGCCTCCTTTTCCTCCAGCTGCTGCTGGGCCGATTTTGTTATTTTGACTAAGGATACTGTCCCGTTTCCAGCGAAGGCTGCGCCCAGCAATAACATGGCTGGTTACTGTGTAGGTTTGCAACATAGCCTTGCAACACCGAGCAGGCTCATGTGTGCGACTAATGTCAACCAGATTCTCAAAGACCCTGGGCAGAATCTGAAGTAAGATAGCAGGAGGAGGAATGTTAACAGGTCGCCTCTCGTCTTTGAGTGCGACAGCTGGTGTTGTTTCCCCCAAAGGAGGCCGACGCGGCGAACTGTTCAATTCTGACATCGTCCCAGCCATGTCCGATTGAGTTGGAATCTGAGTAGCATGGGTGTTTTGCACGGAGGCCTCAGTTTCGCCATATTCAAAAGGCTCCCACTCTTCCACTTCTGCTGTTTCATCCATCGTGAATGCTTGTTCGTTGTTAGATGCTTCTGTAGAAGCGTGAAGACTCACTTCCTTGGTTCTTTCTTTCGTAACGGCTACCAAGAAAGGGTCCCACTCAAACTCCTGATCCCGGTTTTGAGTTTCGCTTGACGAAAACTTTAGTGAATCATTGGGGCCCTTCAAGCCAAGCAAGCTCTGCGTCTGTACTGTAGCACCTGATGAAGACTCTTTTGACACGGTACCGTCGAGTAGGTTCATGGGCTGCCCTTGCGCTATCTCCTGCTTTGCGTCCTCAAAGTCGCCAAAGTCGTCATCGAGGTCATACTGATCTATCGAAGCATCAAACAGAACGTCCGCACCACTATTGTCCGTGCGCCAGATATTTCCTGGAAGACTATCTCCTTTGTCCGGATTGGCGGCATGCTCAGGAGTGTCTGGAACGATGGCTATGAGGACATCTTTGTCCTGCTGCGAGTCGCTGGTCGGCTCATATGCTTTCCTACCATCCTTCCCAGTTAAGGACCCCGTCTGACCAAATTCAGCCAGCAGGTCTGTCGACATTATTCACACTATAAGAATGAACCAATGCTGTGCTCGATACTAGGATTAGGAAATAGCTCTGGTGTGAATTCAGACCACCTTACTACATGTCCTGACGTGGCTAGCATGTTCTCCCGCGGACATTCATATGCTTCTTCGTGGGCCGATATTTATTGATATTAGACATTTGGAGTGATTCTGCTATGGGAAGTGCCGCTAGGCCATCTGAGGCTCGATTTTATGGACTCGTATTGAAGTACGCAAGGTCTGACGTACTAGTAGCCAAAGCCAAATACATTGGACCTTGGACGTCCGCCAAGCAAATATTTCATCACTCCACCACCGCAGTGGCAGTTCGGAGTTCCTCAGCTCAATCGTGACAGGACGCTATGCGAACGCTCGAAGCATCGAAAAAGCGCTGGAATATTTGTTTCTCAGAAGAAAAGATAGGCTTTGACCTACGCGAAGCTGTAAGAGACCTCGAAGACGAGCCTAGTCCCTGTCAGGACGGTGTGCGTTCGGTGTGCTGGAAGGTACATCAAGACTGTCAACGTATGATGTGTCACATTGACATGCAACCAGGCTTTCCTCCTTTATGGACCCCTCAGCTACACACCATGGCCAAAGAAGCTCACGGAATCAAGAGACGCCTACTCCTCCCTTCGGGAGCATTTCCTCCGATATATCGACCATCCAGACGATTTACAATCCGCTGTCGATCCTCTAGCTGACGATGCGAATGTATGTCGTTATCTCCAAGCTTGATGCTGTCTGTCTGACATCTGACAAAGACCTGAAGTCACCCTGGTCAACCCTTCGACAAGACGAATTGAATAGAGGGGAGATATTTCAAGATGTCCAGAGGTGCATGCAAGATAACGCCTTCTTTCAGGAGCCATCAACACAAAAGAAACTTCTAGACATTCTCTTCATCTACTCTAAGCTACACCCGGATATCGGATATAGGCAAGGCATGCATGAACTTTTGGCACCGATATTATGGGTTGTACATTGCGATGCAATCGAAGCAAGCACCATACCGAACAGCAAGGCAGAAGATGATCTGATGTTGGAAGTTTTAGATGAACGATTCATTGAGCACGATGCTTTCACGTTGTTTTGCGCTGTTATGCAGACAGCGAAGTCGTTCTACGAGATCGGAGACTCTACATCCCCTATTGTGGACCGGAGCCGACGTATCCACGATGAATATCTTGGTGAAGTTGATCCAGAACTCGCAAATCATCTTCAAGCCATCCAGATACTCCCCCAAATATTTTTGCTACGATGGATTAGACTCCTCTTTGGAAGAGAATTCAGCCTCGCAGATACTCTGTCAGTTTGGGATGTTCTTTTTGCTGAGGGGTTGAGTCTATCGCTTGTTGACATGACATGCTTAGCCATGCTCTTGAGAATAAGATGGCCATGTACGATTGATTGCACATAGCCCTTTCACATCTGCACCCCGACTAATGTCTGTGGACAGTATTGCGAGCAGACCACACGGAAGCGCTACAACTGCTCTTACATTATGAACCACCAACGCCGCCTTACGGTCCGGCAACATTGGTTCAAGACGCTATATTTCTGGAGCGGAACAGAACCTTTGAAGGTGGCACGTGTCTGATTTCTCGATATTCTGGGGTGGAGGGTGCCTTGCCCGAGCAGCGGTTGCCACCTGTCAAAAGACCTCCGGCCTTGCAACTCAATCAAAGGTACAAGAAGAACCTTAACACGCATTCTCGAAGCAGTGGTTCACCTGGAAGGTCACCAGCTCGGTTTCTTTCTCCACAAAAAGGTCTGGAAAGTCTTTTCCAAGAAGTCTCTGGGAGTTTGCAAAGGAGAACTGAAGGATGGAATATATCAAAGACAGTCCGGGCTGCTGCGGGCGAGGTACGGCGCAATGTCAATAACCTCCACTCAGAAGCGACATCCCCTAGACACAGTCTTGATTCTGCCCCAGCGCCGCTTCCTCATGAGAGCACAGAACAGGAGGCCAATGAAGGTCTTAGAAACCGGCTTTCGATGTTGGAACAGCGAAACAAGGCCCTGGCGAGAATGTTAGCAGATGCATTAGAGGAGCTACGTTCGCAGAAAGAGTCTTCCATTCGAGAACAAGCCACTGTGGCAGAAAGCTCGTTCAACATTGCATTAGCCAAGATGCAATTCGTTCAAGTATACCTAGCCGACTGCGAGATACCAATACCAGGGCAAGAAGCGCTCGTAAACGAATGCAGTCACGAAAGCCAGCCTCGAATGACAGAAACGAATCACTCGGGCCGCGGACTTCTGCCCGAGGACTCTGATGAGTTAGCACTGGCTGCAGACCAAGAGAACACCGCGTCCGATAGACCTTCCACTTCCCTGAAAGCCACCTCAGGGAACGCCGATAGCAGTTCAAGAGACGAGGGTGCTGATGCAAGGGCTATTATCCAGGTTGAGGAACGTCACAAAGCAAATGCGGAGTCCTCAAAGCTTTCCTCATCAAAGCCTCGACCACCCCTCGCACAGTCACCGTTATCCTGGATACTAGGCGAAGGGCAGCATCGTTCAGATTTCGTCAGTTCCTCAACGCCTCCACCAGAGCAAAGAAGGGATAGCATTCCCAAGGTCAAACCAAAGCGTCTGTTTCCGGATGTGAAAGACAGCGAGGGCAGGAACGGCTCTGAAAGTGAAGATGACGGGTTTACCATGAGCAGTCTTCATGGAAGCCGAGCAAGGAATTGAAATGACATTATGACATCTGGCACTACACCCCATGCTGTGCAGTGTATCCTGTGGTATAAAGAGACAAGGATACCATTTTGCACTTGTGGAGCTACCCGTGCATCTTTTTTGTTTAAGGCTTGTTCCGCAGCTTCTGTACCATCCAGCTCTCGATGCATCTTCCCTAGCAGAATACTTGATATTGCCAATGCATTGTGCCCTTTGTAAAAGATTGCTGTTAGCACTGGCAGATGAGAGGCCTGTGGTTGGATTTCCAACGAGTTTATCAACCCATGTTTTGGCGAATCAGGGTCCAGCTCCGTATGTAAGCCTGATGTTTCGTAGCATGTCCCAGACAATAATCAAGTCCTCAACGGGGTTCTGCGTGAGGTCACACTTGACGGCCAGAATTCTCCACAACCTTAGGTCCTGTTTGGCCTTGATCATGCAAGCCACGACTCTCAAAGGGACGCGGGATCTTCCTTTTCCAATGGCCGAGCTCTTCAACTCCGACCCCCACCAATCCCCAGATCTGAACTAAAACATCCACTCCCTACCAGAGATGTAGCAGACATTTTGACGCGGTCTCTGTTTCGACTGTTTGCACCGATTACATCTATTTCCCGCATGGAATGTGTGACTTAGAGCCATGAAAACCCCCTTACGACCACTACAGCCGCCGGTGTGACCCTCATCCCTGACCCCATGCCCACCCACCAGCAAGCGCCAGTCTTTCATTACACGACTGCTACTCCCCTTCAAAGGCGTCAACTTGCGTCTCAGAACACAAAATAACGACTGAAGGAGCAAGTTATACATATTTTGGCAGTGTCCGCCACTCGGGGTAGCTAGGGCATAGAGCGACGGATCCTTCGATATTGTGAGAGCCCGGACGCTTTGAGAATGCCAGGTGATGGTGACCCCCAAAATGGTAGGACTTGCTATCTACCTGATTTCCTAGAGGACCCTGCAAAACGGATATTTGCGCTTCTTGTAGGGGCTTAGTGATGCGTGCGGACAATTTCAACCACCTGGCTGAGGAATTTAGAGGTCCCCATCTTGTGAATGACTTAAATAACGCGTGACCTGTCCTGTGTGCATGCTGCAAGACTCATGCTTCTCAGTACGCCTTACAAACGAAAATTGAACGCAATGCAAAGAATGACTCTTACTGACAGATTTTACGAACCAGGCATCATCAATACAAGTATCAATCCACCAGCTGACGATGCTTTCGAAATACCAGAGCACTCTCTGTATGTGCAGAGAAACAAGAGTACGGGGAATCTGCTTTCGAAGACGCAGGAGACTACAGAAAGGGGACGTGTGCGGTACTCCATTGATGCCGGGACGACACAAGAGCTGAATATGGCCAAGTTGGTAACCGATCATGCTCCACCCCGAGCAGTCCCGCTGATCGCTTGTACAAATAGAACACAGCTACTTGAGCATGATAATACCTTAGGACTGTCAGGCTTACGTCGCATACGTGGACAGCCGCTGACTAGAGCTCCAACAATGCCTTCGTCTCCGGACTCGTCCTTCATTGCCCCTCAGCTGCTTTCTGCCTCCGCCATGCCTAATTCAGCCACTTCATCGAGATCTGCCTCGCTGCATATCATGCCCACACCGACATCTCCTGGGGTTGAAGACCTTCAGCGTTTCCCTTCCGAGTCTCTTCACTCATTCTCCTTCGCGCATCAGTCAGAAGACTTCCTCCACACCCGTCAGAACGTTCTCAAAAAGTCAATAGAATTCATGCGCGATCGTCTAGGCTGGGCGGCGAGCAGTCCAGCGCTAGCAAGTGCTCAAGCTCGGGTGAGTGGAGATGCAGAGCTTCAGAGCATGATGGAGCTCTTGAAAAAAGCAAATTTACTTGGGGTAGACACAAGCAGAGCCGTCGAAGACAGATCAGACTATGGACCACTTACAGGACCACCAGATTTGAAGGGGTTGAACATCTTCGAAAAGAGCTTCAGCCAAAAACCGGGAAGAATATCAGAGGAAGCTGTGATCGACAATGAACCGGACGTAGATGACGATGCGAACGATTTCGGCTTGGATGAAGGAGGTCTTAAGCTTATGGATGCAGAGCCTCGGGCCCGACGATCAAGCCTCAAGCGCACCTTCACAGACATCTCTTCCCTTTCCCTTCAGGCAAAATTGATGGAGGCTTTAGCACAACCATATTCAGAAAACGGTCAGAAGTCATCCTATAGTTTGTTGTCACCAACCCCTCTGCCGGGAGCTCTCCCGGCGGCACAAGCTGCAGCAGGCCCTTCTGTGCACAGCCATAGCAGCAAGTGGGCACCTGCAGCTCAGGCCGTGTTCAGGACCGAAGCAAAATCTCCGTGGACCATCCTGGCCGCGAACGATCTTGCCTGCCTCGTTTTTGGGGTTACCAGAGCCGAGGTTCGAACGCTTGGCATCCTCGAGGTAGTCCAGGAAGATAGGAGGAGCTGGTTAGAAGAGAAACTCCGAGGGCCAGGTCCTGACTCGGCCGAAAAGGCGAGAGTTGCTGCAAACCTATCACTCACGAATGGCACGGTCAAGAAGTCGCTTGTTGGTTCCAGAGGTGGTATAACCGCACAGCTACTCAGCAAAGCTCCTGCGCGGGAAAAGACCCAACGCAGAGCTCAAACGGACGATGGCTCGGGTGGCTACTATAAGCCAAGGAGGCCTAAGAACCATCCCGCCACCAGATCTCGAGGTGTTCTTCTATGTGGAGATGTGGTTCCCATCCGGAAGAGAAATGGATCTACCGGATCGGCAAGCTTCTGGGTGATGGAAAAGCGCGGAGGCCTGATCTGGGTGCTGGAAGAAATCATTGAAAATGTTGCCGTCCTTAAGCTCGATGAAGAAGGCTTCGTTTCCGAAGCCAGAGGCGACGTGGAGCCAATATGGGGGCATGAAAGGATCAAGAAAGGCACTTCTATTTTATCGTTGTTTGGGCACCTGCCGAGTGACTGTACTGGAGGCAAAAAGGGTGACCTAATTTCAACCATATCGAATCTTCGCCATCTAACCGCCCGCACAAGCCACGGTATCAATGTTCCAACCACGAATAGCGCAATGTCTGGTCTTGGAGACATTCGTGTCTCAAGCTTCCCACATATTGCTGGCGTCATGGTCCTCTCGCCCTCGTCGCTGAGAATCACTAGCTCCAACGCCGTTTTCGCGGCGGCTCTGTTCGGTCAGGAGCATCCTGAGGGATCATTGATCATGGAACTCATACCCGGTTTTGATGATCTACTACGCTTCTTGACAGAGGAGGACAAAGTGGATCTTGTTGATGGCATAGTCGTACCGGAGCATAGTTTCCGCCGAGCCAGGGCCCTGATGTTATTGCGAGAAGGTAAAGCTAATGCTGCGAGCATCTTTCTCCGACCATCAGGGCTTACAGCTAGACACCGGGATGGCGCCGAGCTGATGGTAGACGTACAAATGCGTGTGGTGAGGAGTGAATCTGTCTTTCCTGTTGGCACCCAAAAGACGATCGAGGAGACGGAGGAAGGCACTGATGATGAGAAAATGGCTGTGACGGAAGTTGTCTATGCTTTATGGATCACATACTCGAGGCAGCTTCACTCAGCTGGCCTGGGTACTACGGGAACGGAGGGGTCTCGCGTTTCACGACCGATAACCCCTCCAAGCCAGCCGTCGCCCGGACAGACTATCGCCTCGGCCTCGCCTGACCCTTCGTTCTCGGTCCATTCGTCTAAGTCGGCAGATAGCTCTCAGCTTTCTCTGACAACGCAGCAGCTGCAGGAATCGATTTCCACGACGATCTCAGATGAGCCATTGGAGCATCCCGGTCCCAACGTCGTCAATCCTTCTACAGAGCCCTACAAGAAAAAGACGATCAGTGACTTTGTCATCCTAGAAGAGATGGGTTCCGGAGCGTACGGTCAAGTCAAGTTGGGTCGGTACAAGAAAAACAATTCACGCAAGATGGTCTTGAAGTATGTTACCAAAAGGAGAATCTTGGTTGACACCTGGACTCGTGATCGGCGGCTGGGCACGGTCCCGTTGGAGATACATGTGATGGACTACTTGCGGAGGGACGGTTTGAAGCACCCAAACATAGTTGAAATGGTTGATTTCTTTGAAGATGACATCAACTACTACATCGAGATGCGGCCTCATGGAATCCCAGGGATGGACTTATTTGACTATATCGAGCTACGCACTAATATGGAGGAAGGGGAATGCCGAAGCATCTTCAAGCAGGTTGTTGACGCCATCCATCACCTGCATACCACAGCTCTGGTTGTTCACCGGGATATCAAAGACGAAAACGTCGTACTTGATGGCGAGGGGAGGATCAAGTTGATCGATTTTGGAAGTGCTGCCTATATCAAGAACGGACCCTTCGATGTCTTTGTCGGCACAATTGGTAAGCTCCATTGCGTCTGTGTTTTGTTGCATGCCAACTGACCGGCTTGTAGATTATGCCGCACCCGAAGTCCTTCAAGGCAAAGCATACCGAGGCAAAGAGCAAGATGTATGGGCCCTGGGAATCCTTCTTTACACAATCGTCTACAAGGAAAATCCCTTTTACAACATTGAGGAAATCCTCGACCATCCTCTTCGAGTACCTTTCATACCCTTTTCCGAAGCCTGCATTGACCTGATCCGAAGAATGTTAGACCGAGACGTTGACGAGAGAATCACGATTACAGAAGTGATGGAACACGCCTGGATAGTTGGGGAGTAAAATGCCTGAGTTTTGAACAATATTAGGGCATATGGGGTCAATCAACTGTACATCTACATTTTGTGAAGCGTTACGTCTTTTGCTTGAAGTTTGCTTGAAGTTTGCTTGAAGATCTTGTCACATCATCTGCACTGAATCTCGTCAGGCGCAAAGACTCACTCTAACTAGAGAATAGAGCATGGCATATCGAGCTAGAACGGATGGATGAGCATTGGGATTTAGAAACAATGCTTCTCCTCCGCTTAGTATGCTAGATACCCTTATCGACTTAGGACGACAACTACATTGGATAATCATTAGCCTACCTACCAACTCTAGCGTTTGCTTCGTCTTGCCTCGCACTGATTCTGGACGGGCCGTTCGTTGCCTCCAGACTGGGCAGTCTAGTCGCCGAAGTGTCCCATTGGTGGATAAGAAAACATCTATCTGTCCAAGTCATGCTGTAACCACATCGCCTAATGCAGGGTCTCGGGAAACTACACCGGGGAGTGATGCGGCCATGCTAGGGCGTGTCTGGAGCTCCACTGAGAAGTCTCTCACGATCTATTATTTGATCCTGATGCTGCTTGGGTTCCTGTCATCGGTACAGCAGCCTGTGGAAAGGGATACCACTGATAGCCTGTCTTGACGCACCCAAGCTGTCTTGTACCTGCCCAACCCGAGCTGGTGGGTACGGAGTTGCTTGATAGACCTGACTACTCCTAGTGTCTCTCGCTCGGTCTTCAGGTCGCACAATGCTATCTGTCGGAGGTAGTCGGGCATACCGCGTGACTTACTGGGTGAATGACTCCACCGAGAAGACATCGTGAGCTTACTACGTACATCTTCGATGCTTTGTCCGTTTCAATCATGTGGATCATGGTATACGGTCATGTCACTCGACTGCAGCCTGTGCACATGGCCAGTTCCGTGGTGCATCAGCAGCTGAAAATCTCCCTGCTGATCTGTTATTTGCTGTGTCTTTGACCGGCTTGCGTGGTTGGTGTGTTGAGGCATAATTCCTTGGGGCACCCTTACTGCCTAGCTACTTACGATCGGCTCCACAGCAGCCAAGTGTGGTGACTGGGGTCGAGGCATGGCCCAACCAAAGGAGGTGCTCTGGATCAGTGTGTGACCTTGCCGATGCACTCTGCAGGGCCACTGCTCGAACACGTTCCAATAAACCCCAATCTTGACACTCTCCCCCAAAGCTCACTACTGACCTTCTATCTCGCATCATTTCATTCATGTCTTTAACTGCTTCCTCCGTCTGCTATTTCATTCTAACTATTCTGGCTGAATAGCATCGTCCTCATCTTGCAATAGCTGGCCCCGGGCCCATAATGCGGGGTACATTGATCCAGACCTGAGGTCCACTTACAGTACTAGGACAAAAGTATCGGACCAACCCCACTTTCAGACCCCACCAACATTTTGGACCATCTTCATACAATTTACCATAGTAAGTTACCAACTTGATGGATTCTGATGAAAAACGGCTCAGAATGTTCAGAAACATCCAGAGATTGAGGCTGGGCTATTTTCCTAAATAGGCAGTCGATATTCAGAATCTGGTGTACCATCCTTTAGCCGCAATGACCGCATTCACTCGACTATCCATACTCTTGATGAGATTGGCCACAGCTTCTTCTCCTATAGCATCCCAACCCTCATAAATTGCTCTGAACAGACGTTGATAATCCTCCTCCGATTTGCCCATATTAATTAGCTCTGGATGGTGATCATTGATCCATTGCTTGAGTTGCGCCCAGAGGTGTTCAATTAGGTTGAGATCAGGACTATAGGCTGGCCATTCCATCAATTCTATGCCCTCCTCTTGAAGCCAATTGATAATCTTCTTTGCAGTATGGATTCGGGCATTATCTTGCATGAATTTGCGCCCTGGTTCGTACAGTCGAGGCATCTGCTCATGAAGTACTGCCAAATAAGAGTTGGCAGTGTATCCTGACTTCTCTGAATCAGGATCGCGCTCTAATAACAT